TGGTATGTTCAATTGATTGGACATGATTTGGAAAGGCACACACCTGTCTATACAAGGTCCCACAGTTGACAGTGCATGTCAGAGCAAAAACCAAGCCATGAGGTGGAAGAAATTGTCCGTAGAGCTCCGAGACAGGATTGTGTCGAGGCACAGATCTGGGAAAGGACACCAAAAAATTTCAGCAGCATTGAAGGTCCCCAAGAACGCAGTGGCCTCCATCATTCTTAAATGGAAGAATTTTGGAACCACCAAGACTCTTCCTAGAACTGGCCGCCCGGCCAAACTGAGCAATCAAGGGAGAAGGGCCTTGGTCAGGGAGGTGACCAAGAACCGGATGGTCACTCTGAAGGAACTCCAGAGTGCCTCTGTGGAGATGGGAGAGTCTTCCCTCTGCAGCACACCACCAATCAGGCCTTTATGGTAGAGCGGCCAGACGGAAGCTACTCCTCAGTAAAAGGCATGACAGCCCGCTTGGAGCTTGTCAAAAGGCACCTAAAGATTCTCAGACCATGAGAAACAAGATTCTCTGGTCTGATGAAACCAAGATTGAACTCTTTGGCCTGAATGCCAAGCGTCACGTCTGGAGGAAATCTGGCACCATCCCTACGGTGACGCATGGTGGTGGAAGTATCATGCTGTGGGGATGTTTTTCAGTGGCAGGGACTGGGAGACTAGTCAGGATCAAGGAATAGATGAACGGAGCAAAGTACAGAGGGATCCTTGATGAAAACCTGCTCCAGAGTGCTCAGGACCTCAGACTGGGGCGACGGTTCACCTTCCAACAGGACAACGACACTAAGCACAAAGCCAAGACAACGCAGGAGTGGCTTCGGGACAAATCTCAGAATGTCCTTGAGTGGCCCAGCCAGAGCCCAGACTTGAACCCGATCTAACATCTCTAAAGAGACCTGAAAATAGCTGTGCAGTGACGGTCCCCATCCTACCTGACAGAGCTTGAGAGCATCTGCAGAGGAGAATGGCAGAAACTCCTCAAATACAGGTGTGCCAAGCTTGTAGCGTCATACCCAAGAAGAATCGAGGCTGTAATCGCTGCCAAAGGTGCTTCAACAAAGTACTGAGTAAAGGGTCTGAATACTTATGTAAATGTGATTTTCAGCTTTTTTTGTTAATAACTTTGCAAGAATTTCTAAAAACCTGTTTTTGCTTTGTCATTATGGGATACTGTGTGTAGATTGATAATAAGAAAACATTTAATCAATTTTAGAATAAAGGCTGTAATGTAACAAATGTGGAAAAAGTCAAGGGGTCTGAATACTTTCAGAATGCACTGTACACACCTGATCACGTGTAAACACAGTTCACTTTCATAGCAGCCACGTTGTATTCCTTCTCGCATCTATGCGCTCTCCTCCGCTCACCTTTTCCCTTCGTTTGTGGACTTCAATGCACAACACATTAGCTGTATGTGGTCAGGCGTTAAAAACCTTTACAAACCATATCAAAACCGCTACACACAGCGTACATCGTTGTCACCATATTAGCTAAAATAACGTCATAGTCAGCATAGCTAATAGAACTAACGCGTTAGTAAACCCACTACAATCATGCAGTACAGTGTACAGTCAGTAAGCAGTTTAGCAGTTACACCGGCCGGCCCCGGTGGCAATAAATTAATAAAACCAAAAGCTTACCTTGACTTGGAAGAGTACCAGTGTTGTGTTGGATATAGCCAGCTAGCTAACATAGCATCCCTCTGTTTGAGCAGGGTGTTTGAGTAGGCTAAACTCGCTAGCTGCATTTGCTAGCTAAGTAAGTGAAACTGAAAGTGAAAAGAAATTACGAAATCTCTCTCTCTTGCTTCTCTTTCATTTTTGAAGAAATGAATTTGTTCAAAGCTGTTACACTATTGTCTTTCTCCCTATTTGAGTCAACTACTCACCACATTGTATGGACTGCAGTGCTAGCTAGCTGTAGCTTATGCTTTCAGTACTAGATTCATTCTCTGATCCTTTGATTGGGTGGACAACATGTGTTCATGCTGCAAGAGCTCTGTAAGTCTATGGAAGGGGTGAGAACCATGAGCCTCCTAGGTTTTGCATTGAAGTCAATGTACCCAGAGGACGACGGATTCACTGAGGAGGATGGTCCTCCCCTTCCTACTCTGAGGAGCCTCCACTGCCTCAGACCCATAGGTGACAAATCAGAACATGTCTGAAGATGGAAGTGCTAGCGGAATACATATGCAAACGCTTCATGGTGCACACTAGTTCACAAACAATATGGAAAACAGGCAAGCTGAAAAGTTCTTGCTTGACCTTAGGCAACTCATTATGACAAATAACTCACTTCCCTGCAGTGTAAAATGTAGTTCTAGATTCTCCATATGCAGAAGACATTGCATGTGATGTACAAGAGGCAGATTTCTTGGCTGTGATTCTGCAGCTCAAACAGCCTCAGGTTTGGTTCCTGCATACAGTAAGCTTTTACTATACTCAGTTTGCATCTGCTCTTACAGCAAAAGGTTCAAGAGAGCTTGGGAAACATGTTTGACTTTTTATTGTTACATTTGCACTATAATGTATTTATCAACACACAACTCTACAATCCATAATACAATGCTAAATGTAGGTCTCCATTCTAATGGGAATGTGGAGTATTAATATTTGTTTGTTGGGAAGTGGCAAGCGCCACAGACAATATAATGGAAAGGTCTCTGAGGTTTAAAAAATGTTTCCTAGCAACATGCCAGGATAAATGGAGATATAAGATGGTAGTTACTATGATTATGGTTGCGTCCCAAATGGCACCCTATTTCCATAGGGCTCTGGTCAAAAGTAATGCACTATATAGGGAATAGTGTGCCATTTGGGATAGTCCCAAATAGTTTTTATTTAGTTGCCCCTCTGTAACACAAAACTATTAAGGTCATGACCTTTAGAACAGAATTTGACTGCCCTCACCCACTACACACATACTTCACTTCTGACCCACTTCACAGTTTCAAGCATGATATTCAGTTTCAAGCATGATATTCAGTTTCAAACATGATATTTCAGCTTCAAACATGATATTCCAATAACATTTATCTTGGTTAGACCTGTATCATTTTATCAAGGTTGTTGAGAGATTAATAACAAAATGTGTTGCTGTGATATAAAAAGTTCATGCATGCCATTTCTTTATGTGAAGGGACAAATTATATTGCATTAATATTGTACACTGAGTGTACAAAACATTAGGAACACCTGCTCTTTCCATGACATACAGTAGATTGACCAGGTGAATCCAGGTGAAAGATATGATCCCTTATTGATGTCACCTGTTAAATCCACTTCAAATCAGTGTAGATGAAGGGGAGGAGACAGGTTAAATAATGATTTTTAAGCCTAGAGACAATTGAGACATGGATTGTGTATGTGTGCCATTCAGATGGTGAATGGGCAAGACAGAAGATTTAAGTGCCTTTGAACGGGGTATGTTAGTAGGTGCCAGGTGCACCGCACCGGTTTGAGTGTGTCAAGAACTGCAATGCTGCTGGGTTTTTCTCGCTCAACATTTCCCCCTGTGTATCCAAAGGACATCCAGTCAACTTGACACAACTGTGGGAAGCATTGGAGTCATCATGGCCCAGCATCCCTGTGGAACGCTTCCGACACCTTGTAAAGTCCATGCCCTGACGAATTGAGGCTGTTTTGAGGTCAAAAGGGGGTGCAACTCAATAGTAGGAAGGTGTTCCTAATGTTTTGTACACTCTGTGTATACATATATTATATATTGAAATTTTAATAACAGCACTTTAATTAATGGTCACATTAATCATATTTTACTGTGATTGTCAGAGGAAATGACACCATTTTAACCAGTTTTGCCCTCTGAGAAGTACTGTTAGTGAGAATAATAGTGTGTGTGTTCCTTAAGGGTTAAATCAGTTCATATGCATTCCTTCACAATTCTCTTCTCTTTTAGGGGGCTCCTCTTTTTTCTTTAAATGACATTGGGGACGATATCATAACATGTAATTTATATTCTGTGGCACCTCACCTCTTTATTTACTCTTTACCCAAACAAACCCCTCAGCCCACTCAGTTTTAATGGCAGACTACGTTCTGCATTGCAGAGCAGGTGTGAGCAGCTTCTTAATCTGCCTTGTGATCGCAGCAGGGTAGTAAACAAACTATTGAAAGAGATTATTCATTTGGAAATGAAATGCAGAGGTGGAACAAATACGATTGTGACTTAAGCACACCTCTCTAGTAAGTTAAGAAGCATGAATATGAAAATGTTGTTAAGGACTTTCTGCAGTCTTTTGAAGGGTTTTGAAAAGCAATGAGGGTCCAATAAAATAATGTGTGGCCTGTGGGCAGACGACCTATATCAGGGTTCTACACCTCTGTTTTTCATCCTCTCCTTCTAATCAGTGGCTAATTCAGACCTGGGACACCAGGTGAGTGCAATTAACTACCAGGTAGAAATAAAAAACAGAAGTGTTTCGGCCCTCCAGGACCGGAATTGAAGAACCCTGACCTATATCAACAATCTTCCAAATCAGACTTGGTAGCCTAGCAAACCCCAAGATGAAGAAAAAAAACATTCTAGGTTGGCAATGTTTTGCTTTAATTTGTAGAATTATCTAACCCCACAACAAAAAATAGGCTATTGCTGTGCGCTCTTATGGTATGAAATACATTGTCCATAGGGTTAATTAGTGGCCTATAGAGGGACACAGCACGGGAGTTTTTCTTTGAGGCTTATTTGGCCATAGAGATCTCGATTCAGGATGCTTTGCGGTACCTCGAAACTGTTTACTTTGATTGCGTCATAATAGCGTGTCAACCTGTAACGGTCAGATACACTTTATATATCGGGCAGAGCAGTAACGTTGTAATGTGGCTTCAACCCCACCTTTGCCCTTGGTAAAGAGCGCGCAACCACCAGAACAGAACAGGATCGAAGCTACATCCGTGGCTTCGCGGTAGAGCATCAAATAACGTTAGGGAGGTCATCATGGCGATGTGTGACTGAAGAAGGGAGAAGTTAACATGTTTGCCACTGCAGTAAGTTACATGGGCCTCTGTGTGCCCAGGCTCCTGCAAGCATTCGAGGAGGAGTTCGGTTCAGACGGGGTCATCGGGCTCCACCTTTTTCTGATTAGCCTCTCCATCCTCCTGCTCCTGTTCTGGGCCATCCATTTGTGTAAAGACGATGTAAGTGGGCGCCACCAGTAGGGAGAGACGTTACTTCTTTATGTAGTCTAATGGTGTTTGACGCGGAACTGTCAGTCAGGGTGTGACAAACTGCCCACAAACCAGGGCTATATATTTAGAGAGTTAGGACAACTTTTAGAATTTTGAATATTCTAGACATTCAGTTACATAGGGTTGTTTAGCTAACATGGCTGCCATAGAATGTTGAAGTGTTATGTAAATGCATCATACTGCAGAAACCGCATTGGCCCAACTCTCTAAATTCATGGCTCTGCCACAAACTGTCCCACTTCCCAAAAACATGAGAACTCTATAGCTGGATAGACAGTGGCGCTGTCCTTTCAGCACTGCAGAGTAACTACCACTATTTATAAACTGGATGGTTGGAGCCCTGAATGCTGATTGGCTGAAAGCTGTGGTATATCAGACCACATACCATGGGTATGACAAAACATTTATTTTTACTGCTCTAATTACGTTGGTAACCAGTTTATAATAGCAATAAAGCACCTCAGGGGTTTGTGGTATATTGCCAATATACCACGGCTAAGGGCAAACTCCCTAGAAAGGCAAAACCTAGGAAGAAACCTAGAGAGGAACCAGGCTATGAGGGGTGGCCAGTCCTCTTCTGGCTGTGCCGGGTGGAGATTATAACAGAACCATGCCAAGATGTTCAAAAATGTTCATAAGTGACAAGCATGGTCAAATAATAATCAGGAATAAATCTCAGTTGGCTTTTCATAGCCGATCATTAGAGTTTAAAACAGCAGGTCTGGGACAGGTAGGGGTTCCATAACCGCAGGCAGAACAGTTTAAACTGGAATAGCAGCAAGGCCAGGCGGACTGGGGATAGCAAGGAGTCACCACGGCCGGTAGTCCCGACGTATGGTCCTAGGGCTCAGGTCTCTCAGTTGGCTTTTCATAGCCGATCATTTAGAGTTGAAAACAGCAGGTCTGGGACAGGTAGGGGTTTCGTAGCCGCAGGCAGAACAGTTGAAACTGGAATAGCAGCAAGGCCAGGCGGACTGGGGGCAGCAGGGTGTCATCATGCCCGGTAGTCCTGACGTATGGTCCTAGGGCTCAGGTTCTCAGAGAGAAAGAGAGAACGAGAGAATTAGAGAGAGCATACTTAAATTCACACAGGACACTGGATAAGACAGGAGAAGTACTCCAGGTATAACCAACTAACCCCAGCCCCCCGACACATAAACTACTGCAGCATAAATACTGGAGGCTGAGACAGGAGCGGTCCGGAGACACTGTGGCCCCATCCGAAGAAACCCCCGGACAGGGCCAAACAGGAAGGATATAACCCCACCCACTCCGCCAAAGCACAGCCCCCGCACCACTAGAGGGATATCCCCAACCACCAACTTACAATCCTGAGACAAGGCCGAGTATAGCCCACAGAGGTCTCCACCACAGCACAAACCAAGGGGGGGGGGGCGCCAACCCAGACAGGAAGATCACGTCAGTAACTCAACCCACTCAAGTGACGCACCCCTCCCAGGGACGGCATGAAAGAGCACCAGCAGGCCAGTGACTCAGCCCCTGCAACAGGGTTAGAGGCAGAGAACCCCAGTGGAGAGGGGAACCGGCCCGGCAGAGACAGCAAGGGCTGTTCGTTGCTCCAGCCTTTCCGTTCACCTTCACACTCCTGGGCCAGACTACACTCAATCATATGACCTACTGAAGAGATAAGTCTTCAGTAAAGACTTAAAGGTTGAGACCGAGTCTGCGTCTCTCACATGGGTAGGCAGACTGTTCCATAGAAATGGAGATCTATAGGAGAAAGCCCTGCCTCCCGCTGTTTGCTTAGAAATTCTAGGGACAATTAGGAGGCCTGCGTCTTGTGACCGTAGCGTACGTATTGGTATGTACGGCAGGACCAACTCGGAAAGATAGGTAGGAGCAAGCCCATGTAACGCTTTATAGGTTAACAGTAAAACCTTGAAATCAGCCCTTGCCTTAACAGGAAGCCAGTGTAGGGAAGCTAGCACTGGAGTAATATGATCAAATTTCTTGGTTCTAGTCAGGATTCTAGCAGCCGTATTTAGCACTAACTGAAGTTTATTTAGTGCTTTATCCGGGTAGCCGGAAAATAGAGCATTGCAGTAGTCTAATCTAGAAGTAACAAATGCATGGATTAATTTTTCTGCATCATTTTTGGACAGAAAATTTCTGATTTTTGCAATGTTACGTAGATGGAAAAAAGCTGTCCTTGAAACAGTCTTGATATGTTCGTCAAAAGAGAGATCAAAAGAGAGATGTATCCAGGCACTCCTTGTTGGGTCTTGCATAAGAACAGCCCTTAGCCGTGGTATATTGGCCATATACCACACCCCGTCAGGCCTTATTGCTTAAATACAGTACCTTGCAAAAGTATTAATTCCTATTTTGTTGCATTACAAGCTGTAATTTAAATGGATTTCATGTAATGGACATACACAAAATAGTCCAAATTGGTGATGTGAAATGAAGAAAATTACTAAGTGTCACATGATCTCAGTATATATATATATACACACACACACGTTCTGAAATGCCCCAGTCTGCAACACCACTAAGCAAGGGGCACCACCAAGCAAGCGGCACCATGAAGACCAAGGAGCTCTCCAAACAGGGGTTGGGTTATAAAAAAATATCAGAAACTTTGAACATCCCACAGAGCACCATTAAATCCATTATAAAAATAGAAATAATATGGCACCACAACAAACCTGCCAAGAGAGGGCCGCCCACCAAAACTCACGTACCAGGCAAGGAGGGCATTAATCAGAGAGGCAACAAAGAGACCAAAGATAACCCTGAAGGCGCTGCAAAGCTCCACAGTGGAGATTGGAGTATCTGTCCATATGGCCACTTTAAGCCGTACACTCCACAGAGCTGGGCTTTACACCAGTGGAACCCATCCAACTTGAAGAATGGGCAGAAATCCCAGTGGCTAGATGTGCCAAGCTTATAGAGACATACCCCAAGAGACTTGCAGCTGTAATTGCTGCAAAAGGTGGCTCTACAAAGTATTGACTTTGGGGGGGTGAATAGTTATGCACGCTCATGTTTTCTATTTTGTCTTATTTGTTTCACAAGAAAAAATATTTTTCATCTTCAAAGTGGTAGGCATGTTGTGTAAATCAAATAATACAATCTCCCAAAAATCAATTTTAATTCCAGGTTGTAAGGCAACAAAATAGGAAAAATGCCAAGGGGGGTGAATACTTTCGCTAGCCACTGTATATATACAGTATATATACGAGTGCTGTCCATTCAGTGGTGCTGAAGGAAGGCCACGGCCTACGCATGCATGCGCTAGAACATTTTAACTTCCTCATTTTGCAATTGTTTGCCATGTGTCATTGTACAGAATGTATATTTCAAAATCCTTATTGTACACATTTTTTATTTATTTCAACAGGATGATGTCTTCGGCGACATTGACCAGTAAGTTTCATCCTTCATAATTAATTGTGAATTCAAAGAGCTCTTTCATGTGGGTAAAACATTTGTAAAAATCATGAGAATGAATGGCTCTGAACTTAAATTAAACCCAGTCTTAAATGTTCTCTTGCAGAGAGCTGGTCAATAACTTCACAGAGGGAGTTCATCTCTACTACAGCTACCTCCAACGACTGGAGGAACTAACGTTACATATGGAGGACCTCACCACTGAGGTGGACCTGGACTCCTGCTCTGACTCCCAATCGTGCTTTGACTCATGCTCATCCAGATCATCTTCTAGATCACATTCTAGATATTCTAGATCCTCCAGATCTAGTGACTGCAGCAAATGCCGAACCTGCAATAAAAGGCGGAAACAGCATCCATGTGACAGGTTTAAATTCCTGAAAGGCGGTAGTCCAGATAGTCCCAGCCCTCTGGTTAGTCCTAGCCCACTGGCTAAGCCCTGCCTCAAGCTACCAGGAGGTGGTGATGATAAGGACAGTCACCATGGCTGCACGCACACCTCCTGCAGCTCCTCTATGTACGTGACTCCTTCTGACTCCCTTCTACCTCTGGAATACCAGCCCTGCCCTCGTCAGCTTACTGCTATTGGTTGGAGGCTAAACTGGACTCTGATGGAGGCCAAACTGAACTCTCCTGTCGCTGTGCCTGTTGCTGCTGCTTCTACTGTCACTGGCTGTAAAGACAGAGCTGCCTGCCGCACAGACCACGCAGACCGCTACAGGACTCCGACTGTGAGACATATTCCAATGGTGAGACAGCTGTTTGAGGCCGTGCCGAGGAAAGGACACCCGGCCGTCCTGTGCCTCTGGCACCGCAGACACTTTGAACTCAACGTGACACAGAAGGTCTGTAAAAAATAATAATTTTACTGTTACAATGTCCCAAATGGGACCTTATTTCCTACATAGTGCACTATATAGGAAATAAGGTGCCATTTGAGACACCCACTTCTGTTAAATGTCTGGTTGATGAGTTACTGGTTAAGTGTTTGTCTAACTGTCTAATTTCCTCCTCTGAGTTGAATAACTCTAATCTATAATCTAAGGTGGCCCGCAAGCGCTGGAGGATTGCCGTGCTGATGATCTCCATCATTAGGTGGCTGCTCCCCGAGAGACTGGAGGGAGGAGGCACCACCAGCTCAACCTCCACCACTGCGTCCACCCCGACCACCACCACTACCACCTCAGTAACCTCTCAGGCTAAGAAAGGATCCAAGATCATCAGGAAAACTGCCAGTGTTCCAGCCTTCTGCCCTCATGTTGCCAACCCTCCATCTCCCTCCCAGGCTCCATGCCAGTCTCCAGGGTTGGAGGGTAAACCCAAGTCCATCATGATGTACACTCAGAGCGCCAGGATCCCCTTCATTTCCCAGGAGGTCCGAGAGAAGCTTGAGTCTCATGTTTGCCGTAAGCAGAGCCAGCGCCTCTGGGGCTTCCCCAAACTGGTCACCAGGTACATGGGCGACCTTGCGCCTCAGCAGCTCCCCACCACCGGCAGCGCAGGCGACGGGAAGATCATGGGCAACGTGACCGACCGTCAGGCGGTGTTCTCTGGACGAGCGCACCGCAACACAGAGTTCAGGTTGAAGAACAAAACTACAAGGCCAGCGGAGGATCCGCAGGCAGCTGCAGCCGCAGCAGCAGCCGCAGCCGCAGCGAAGGACAGCTCACCAGTCACCAGACCTGTGGAGAAGACTACCACCACCAGCACTGTGCTCCAGCCAGCCGAGACCCACGCTACCAAACCCCCCCACACCAGACCCTCTCTGAACCAGACCTCCCCTGTGGTGAGCTTGACCCCGGAGAGACGCTGGCTGGAGGAGAAGGTGAGGAGTAAGTGTATGGAGGTGAAGCTCAAACACTTTCCCGGCATGGTGGCCCAGTCATACCACTCCGCCTTTGCTTCGGCAACCAGCCAGCCAACCATGAAACCCACCCAGGTGGCAGAAGCCCCCGCTGTTTTTCGGAAACGCACCGCCCCACTCAGACGGAGGGATAAGGTATTGTTCATGGACCAGGAGGAGCTGAGGCGCCTGGAGGACAACCTGATCATGAAACACATGGAGCACCTTCACAGGCAGGGAGTGACCACCGCCTCAACCCCCTCGGCCCACACCCAGGGAGTGACGACCTCTTCGGCCCCCCCGCAAAGCTCTCACAGCCTGGCTCTAGAGACCTCGACCCACACCACCACTGTCTCACATCCCCATCCTGCCCTCATGAAACAGCTGGTGTTGGTGAATGGTTTGGAAGGAGGCGTTGGGGAGCGCAAGACCCTGCTGGCTCCACAGCAGCACCAGGTAAAGCCTAGCTCAGCCGCAGCCAAGGTGGTATCAGGACCCGCTGATTCTGCAGTATCATCCAGCACTGAGGCTCAGAGGTCCAGCAGGCTCCCTCTGCCTCCTTTGATTAGGCCTCCCTCTTGTTTTATTTCTGCATATTTTACCTAAAGATGTATTCAGAAGTGAATAGTATGTATTCTTTCTACCAAATACATTGTTTTGCATTTCATATGATTTGACTCTGTTTGTTCTGAGGACAGTATGTGTCTGTTCCTAATGAATACATTTGGTATGCCTATTGGTTTGGGCTTATTCATTTTGGTTTGTTTTAAATACACCAGGCATAGTTTATGCTACAGAAAAAAAGTTAATATCATGATGCACTGTTTAAAATACACAATGTCAAAACTTGTCTTAGCACAGACAAGCGAAACACAGCTGAATGGAGGTGAAATAGCAGGGATGTTGATGCTATAATACAGTTTACAGTAACAAACTGACATGTTGAGCTATTTTAGTCTGAGGTGGTGCCTCTTGAAGTACTACTGCCGCTTTCATTTCCATCTCAGAGCCCTTTTCCCAGTTAGCCTATGGGAATGACAGTTGTAGGCTCTGAATGGATGTAAACAGACCACTTCATTCCCCTGTGTTATCTTTCAGTCTATCTATGCTTGCGGATTCCCCTAGATGTCAGAAGAAAGCCACAACTGGAGACGGTGAGAGCAGAGAGACAGAGCTATACTCCCACGCACTGACGCATACCCCTACATTATACTACATGTCAGGCACATGGAGCTGTACAGGAATGAAAAAAAAAAAAAATGCACTCACTAACTGTAAGTCACTCTGGATAAGAGCGTCTGCTAAATGACTAAAATTTTAAATTTTAAGAGAAGAGCACGTGCTAAATTATACCTGAACACTATAATTGGGGTGTGACTGTAAATAGTCAGGATGCATCCCAAATTGCACCCTATTCCTTTTATAGTGCGCTACTTTTGACCAGGGCCCCTGGCTGCATCACTGCTTTGTATGGCAACTGCTTGGCATCCGACCGCAAGGCGCTACAGAGGGAAGTGGGGACGGCCCAGTACATCACTGGGGCCAAGCTTCCTGCCATCCAGGACCTCTATACCAGGCGGTGTCAGAGGAAGACCCAAAAAATTGTCAGTGCCGATTTTAGCATGTCAATCTTGGTGGGGCAAACAAAACAAAAAAATGGGGATGCATGCCAGCAAAGCCACTACACAACACTAAACAATACATTAATTACACTATAATGGTGACAAACGGTACCCACAAACTGTTAGGGCCTACATAAAGCTGTCCCAACGGCAGAGTCCCAACACCTTACCACTGCTACACCTGGCTATCAGCAGAGCCTTGTCTGGCAGCGAAACAGTTCATTCAGCCTCATTTACTGCCTTTTAAAAACATAGCTGATATGGCTGACTTGCTTAAACAAGTGTAGTTTCTATTGACAATTGAGATGTACAAACTATGGCATAAGGGGACGACAAGTGGATAAGAGGCAATCCGTAATTTCGATTAAGACATTAATGAGCGAGCTTGGAAGGACATAGTCAATATAACTAGAGGTTCAGCACTTTTGAAATGTACAGCGACAGAATTCAGAACATTGGCATTTATTTTTTTTATTTTTTTTATTTTTTCTGGGGGAATGGATCAGCTTAATATTGCAGATAGATTGTATCTTCTATCAATGTAATTGTCTGCATCACTTCCAATCCCCCATGTTTTTTTTAAAATTATATATATACTCCCCTTTATTACTTTTCAACCCCACCATCCTTTCCCTACTTGGAGTAAATTAGTGAACAACAATGTCCAGGCCTCTACTTCCGGTCTATACTTACTATCTACACCTTATGGACAGAGTTAATTTTACAAGAATTATATATTATATATATATATATATATATATATATATATATATATATATATATATATATATATATATATATATATATATATACAGTGCCCTCCACTGTTATTGGCACCCCTGTTTAAGATGTGGTCGAGGACTTCCAAAAATTCTCCTTTTTTTTTTAAACAACATAGAACCCAAATGCAAAAAAAGAGAAAAATCCAACCTTTTATTTAAGTACATTACTTTGGTGGTAAAAAAAAAAAATCACACATTTACAAAAAAAAAAACTTGAAATCATGTGTCCCACAATTATTGGCACCCCTAACAATTCCGCTGAAAATTTTAATTGATTTTTTTTTAAATATATTTTTCTGTAGTTGCTAAAGTTGGTCAGGGTATCTAGGAACTTTTAATTAGTAATTCATGACTTCCTGTTTCCCTGGGGTATAAATATGACGTGACACAGAGGCCTAATTCTCTTACCCATTTGTCAACATGGCAAAGACAAGAGAACACACCATTCAAGTAAGGCAGATTTGTGTCGACCTTCATAAGTCAGGCAATGGCTACAAGAAAATAGCCACTCGCCTTAACTTGCCCGTATCTACAGTCAGAGGAATCATTAAGAAGTTTAAAACAACTGGAACAGTGACAAACAAGGCTGGAAGAGGTCCCAAGTTTATCTTGCCACAACGCACAGTGAGGAGGATGGTAAGAGAAGTAAAAAAAAAGTCCTAAGCTCACTGTCACAGAATTGCATCAAAGAGTGGCATCTTGGGGTCACAAAGTCTCCCAAACAACCATCAGACGCTCTCTACATGCCAACAAGCTGTTTGGGAGGCATGCAAGGAAAAAGCCTTTTCTCACTAACACTCACAAACGTAAACGTCTGGAGTTTGCTAAGCGGCACTGGGACTTCAACTGGGATCGTGTGCTTTGGTCAGATGAGACTAAGATTGAGCTTTTTGGCAACAAACACTAAGTGGGTCTGGCGTAAAACAAAAGATGAGTATGCCGAAAAGCACCTCATGCCCACCGTGAAGTATGGTGGAGGATCTGTGATGCTGTGGGCCTGTTTCTCTTCCAAAGGCCCTGGGAACCTTGTTAGGGTGCATGGCATTATGAACGCTTTGAACTACCAGGACATTTTAAATAAAAACCTGATGGCCTCTGCCAGAAAGCAGAAGATGGGTCGTCATTGGGTCTTTCAGCAGGATAATGATCCAAAACATGTGGCAAAATCTACACAAAAATGGTTCAGCAGTCACAAACTCAAGGTCCTCCCATGGCCATCTCAGTCCCCAGACCTCAACCCAATCGAAAACCTGTGGGGCGAGCTAAAGAGGAGAGTGCATAAGAGAGGACCCAGGACACTGGATGATCTAGAAAGATTGTGCAAAGAAGAAAGAAGAATGGTCAAAGATCCCTCTCTCTGTGTTCTCCAATCTTGTGAAATGTTATAGGAGGAGATTAAGTGCTGTCTTGTTGGCAAAAGGGGGTTGTACAAAGTATTAACATCAGGGGTGCCAATAGTTGTGGGACACATGATTTCAAAAAAATTTATTTATTTTTTTTTATGTGATTTTTTTTTTTTTTTACACCAAAGTAATTTACTTAAATAAAAGGTTGGATTTTTCTCTTTTTTTGCATTTGGGTTCTATGTTGTTTTAAAAAAAAGGATAATTTTTGGAAGTCCTCGACAACATCTTAAACAGGGGTGCCAATAATTGTGGAGGGCACTGTATATATATATATATATATAATATTTTTTTGCTCCTGAACTTCTTCTACTCTCAACCTCTCCGATCATTTTCATGATGTCCATTCGGTTTGCTTCTATATGCCATATCTTTCTAACTGTGCTCGTTCCCAAAAGTTCCCAACATACAACCTATATACTTATTATGGACACAGTATGCTTACATTATTAGCTATCTTTGTTATTATTCCCATCCTTCAACTCTATTCAATACCTCCCATCTATCTCTTAACACCATCCATATAGGATTTCTATTTGCCATATATATTTCAACCGTACTGTGATGTTTTACAAAAGTTCTGAACCTTTCTATTCTCATTGCTTCTACAGATTGTGAATTAAAAATAAACATTTTTGCTAAAAGTATTATTATATTATTGTTTGATTGACTATGACTTTCAGATCACCCAGTAATGCTATCTGCAAGGTTAGCTCCAGGTAAATATTGCAACCCTTTAGCCATTCTGGACCTGTGTCCAAAAAACAAGCTACAAATGGACAGAACCAAAACAAATGATCTAATGATTCTGTCTCTTAAACAGCAAAACTGCAGAGCGGGGAAAGAATGTATCCCCTTATAATAAAAATGTTTTGTTTGTTTATTTATTTATTTATTATTATTTATTTTTTAAATAGCAAGATTTTTTTATAATAATTTAAATTGAAAGATTCTAATTTTTGAATCCGGCGTCGTTTTGCGTGTCAGTTCATAAACACTATGCCATGGGATCGGTATGTCAAAGATCTCTTCCCAACTATTTTGCAATCTATATGGGACGGCTGTCAATCCTTTGGTCCTTAAGTGAAACTGATATACTTTTTTATTTATCACAGTTTTCCTTAACCAATTATGTTCTTTAATGCAGGGCCGACAGACAAGTTCCTTACTTTCTCCCCCTTCCACTTTCCTCTTCCACTTTTGCGGTAAGGCTGCAATTATTTGGTTGTAATTTTGGGTAAAGCAGACATTTCCATATGTTTTTGTTAGCTGCATGTGCGACATAACTCCACCAGTCCTACCGATGATATCATTTACGAAGATTACACCTTTTTTAAACATTCAGTCAAAAAAGAAAGTTTTTTTGTCAATTAGTATATTTAAATTTAACCACAATATTTGTTGCATTATTTGTTCTGTCGTTTCTGGAGGATTAAATTGAAATTGCAACCAACTTTCTATGGCTTGTTTTAGAAATAGTGATATTTGGGAGATTATTTCCTTTTCAAATAACTGAAAGTGAGAGGTTGTAATCTGAATAAAGGGAAAAAGGCCTTTCTTGAACATTGGGTGAGACAATCTTACTAATTTGCTTGAGAACCAGTTCGGATTTAAGTATAACTTTTGTATGACTGAAGCTTTTAGTGATAGGTCTAATGCTTTAATATTTAATAATTTCTGTCCTCTGAATTCATATTCATTATATAAATATGCCCTTTTAATTTTGTCTGGCTTGCCGTTCCAAATAAAATTGAATATTTTTTTCTCATATAATTTAAAAAACTGTTCGCTAGGCGTAG